TATGACTCACATTAAAGTCATCCTGCAACTAATGTGTGGCAAACACAGCTTTCCCAAATTGGGATGAATGTATGCATGAAACTTGTACAGGGCATAGGGCAGATTAATTGAGTCTAGCTTGAGTTATCCTATTTTGTCAGTATAGTAGTTGACCAGCTTTTAAGAGTGTAAAACTAATCCACATATATTTCAGACTCACTAGAGATCAAGGGTATACAAGATACAGGACTTCATTTTTTACTTCTTTATGCATATTGTTGCTAACTCTAATTGTGAAAAATGTGGAAACTAACAATCTAGCAGCAATATTCAAGAAAAAATGTCAGACAGAGGGATCATTACAAGGGTATGACAGCACTAGTCAAAGACAAGTTTACTAGCCTAAAGGCAAAGGTAGGAATGCCTGGTATAAGCTTTAACATCAGTACTATAATCAATCATAACAAATGCAAAATTGCTAAATAAGGACACCTTTCTCATTCTGCATTTAACAGGTGGTCATGAAATACTACAGAAAATTAATCAAATGCTAAAAAGGTATAATCAGTGGATCAAACTAAAACTGATACAGTGCACACCTCATTTTTGTAAAGTTAAAATTTACAGGGCCTATACAGGTATATAAAAGAAAATAATGATGGATGTGTCGGAAAACTTTCTTGTAGTGGCCAATCACAGGAGCCTGTGGGCACACAACCTTTGGTGTCTAAAGCAACACCCCTTGGCTGGAATTATTGTCAGTTGGTACACAATCAATGACGCTGTGATTTCAAATCACCAAAACTATCAAAAGTGCACCTATTCATTAAATGGTGGAGATATAGGGTAGAAAAATAAATATTTCTTCAGTAAATCTGTGTGACTTCTTAGTATGGACTAGGTTCACACCTGCACGACACCTGGGACGCGCGTCCTGGGGCTGCGCGATCATGTGCTAGTGCACACAGTGGTTGCTGTGTGACCCCCCCCATTGATCTCAATGGGGTGACATTCGCGCGGCAATCACTTAAATAAAAAAAAAAAAAGGTACATGTACCTTTTATGTGAAACACCACACGCGGCTTTCGTAGCCCCGATTGTGTTCACTTGCATTCAGCGGAATAGCGGCTGCGAAATCACGCGATCCGCCCGACGCAACTGGGGTGCCATTTGAAAATAATGGCACCCACAACGTGATAGCATGCAGTGTGCGACGCCGTGACAGCACGGTTTTGTGCACAATTGCCACGCTGTGAGGAGTTGCCCAGGTGTGAACCTAGCCTTAGTCAGAGGAGCGTGGTGGGGGATATGGCGGTCAAAGCAGCAACTGGAAACGCTGCATCCTTGTAGTGTTGCATAGAAAATGAAACACTGGGGAACCATTAATGAAACTGTAAATATTTAAAGAGAAAACAAAGGACAGGTATGTCATACAGAGAAATATATATTGGCTACAAGTCCAGAAAACCACACTGTAGGTCCTGCAGCTTAGCAGCAGCGGGAAGGCACAGGTTGCCACCTCTGTGACAGAAATGTGAACACTCCCACTTACTGGAGCTGCTCAATTGTGCTGTCAATGGCAGGTCAGGAATGAATATACAGGATGGTGTGGGAGCAAACATTTATGAGGGGATTGTCCTTATGGAGGGGCTAACAATATTAACTACTAATGTCTGTTGAGAGTCTGGGGTGCAAACATGTGTGATGAGTGAAAATCCCTCTTATCATGGTGCACAGGTGAGAATAGGAGCCTTCTTCTTTATAGTGCATGATGTGTAGGCAAATGTGCAGAGAAAAAAAAAGGAAAATCCAGTCTTTGAGATATTTGTATAGCCTATGGTTCCAGACTGAGAAGGGAACATGCGACTTATATCCAGCTTATTGCAGGAAATCTATATCTTAGAAAGTTCTCATAAATTGTACCAAGATGCAGCTGTCCTATAGAAGCTGTTGGAAACCATTCAGAACTCACATGTCTGATGGATTTAAGCTCCATAAAATACAAGGAAATGCTTCACCAATTATATGAACTTGGGCATATATGTGGAAAGACATTGGCACGCTCCCTAAGGTCAAAATGCACACACACATATATTCCCAAAATTAGGCTCCCCTCATAAAAAGTGGTACAACAGTCTCAGAATATAGCGCAAACCTTTCATGCCTATTATTCTGACTTAGACCACATAATCCTACCACTGAAAATCTGGATCTAGTTTCCTATATTGCTGATACAGCTTTTCCCCCGTGATTTGCTATGGGTGCTTTTCTTTATTTTGGATGCACATGATCTTTCTCATATGTGTATGGCACTGGAATCCAGGAGGCTGAAGCCATTGACATCTCTTATACTGCAAACAGCTTTTCCAGGGTACTAATAGTTGGTATTTTTAATGGTATGTTCAACTTCAGGATTTATACCATGCTATATGCCAAAAGACTCTGTATTGAACCACTGATGCCCTTTGAGGCATTGCCTCAACAGTTAGAAGGTCTGGCTCATGTATTTTCAATGCTCAAAGTATTTACTCTTCCAGGCAAAGTACATTGCATACACTGTTAAAAGTGACAACTATGTTTCTTTTAGCTGCATGCGCACTTCACCATTGTAAATCCACTATTAGAGAGTGGGTAAAATTATGATCCCATATTATGAGGATGGAGAAACTGACTGCACAAGTAAATTAAAGATTTCAGACCTATTTCCAGACCTATTTCCAGACCTGGAGTCCATAGCTTTTATATATGGAAATGGCTCTTGCGAAGGACCCCTGCCATCTCTAAATGGGTTTTCCCCACTACACCCACTATTCCCTGATGCACACAATTTCTTTTCTGTACACCTTTTTTCCCCTTTCTTATATACCTCTCTCTTTTGATTCTTCTACCTGGACATCCCTGACACCACCATACAAGGACTTTTTTCCCCCATAATCTATTAGTTCCAATCCATATTTCTACTGTTAATTTACTGTGGTGGTGTTATGCAAGCTACAAATCCAGTAGTATAGGGATAATAGAGCAGAAAAAAAGTGAAACATTCCTGTTCTTTTTTTCCACAATATTGCCAGTACAACTGTCAGGCGAGGGGGCTGCAGTATTTACTTTTAATTTTTGGTCTTATAGAAATAAGTTATAATATATGAATGAGGTTATACAGTCCTACCTACTGTAGGGATACTTCAATGCAACATAACTAGAGGGGGAAAATATGCAGCACCTTTTCTGCTCAAAAGAATAGCTTTCCTACATTTTGATTACCAAGGTGCCTCATTTTACACAGGTCAGAAAGGTCAGAAATCCGAGATGTTCCTCCTCATTTTGCATACAATAAATTCAATGGAGACTGAAAGCTGATGCTTCCTTTCATGCGATGTTTGAAGGTATGGCTCAGGCAGCTTTGTAAGCCTTGCAGAATCCCAGAAAGTATGCACATATTCAGTTTGTGAAATGCATGTTTTATGGACCTGAATATGAAGCTCCATGCATCAAACCAAGTCATTATGACCTTTCCCAATGCTGGATTTTTACATTTGATGTAAAAGGAGTAAGCAACAGAAGTGAGGCAACACAGATGAAATAGGAACTGCAGTGTGCTGTTTCCAGTGTTGGGAGTCCTAAGAAACTAGTCAAGTGATTAATTTCAGCAGACTCCAACTATAAACTGAAATATCAGTCTTGGGTGGTTTCGGACTCATACTTTAAATGTATTGTAAAGATAATGTTTGCACAATTCACAGATTAAATGTGCGGGAATTGGGTAACGTTTCGCATAAAACATATATGATTTGATAGAATCTCCTAATTGTATGTGTATATTGCATGTAGGTGAGCCATAGTGGTTATGCCAGAGGAATGATACATTTGCATAGATTACTATAGCGCCACCTTCCAAAGCGTTATAGGAATGCATCCAATTAATCTTATACTACATTCAATTACATAGTCTACAAAACATTTACCTAATCACATTTTTCATGTTTTAGCCATGTCTTCCATGCACCCACATTTTTAAACCAATTATGTTAACTGTGTATTTCTCAAAAGAGAAACTACATAAAAAGTTGCTGTTTGCAACCAAATATATTGCAAGTATGAAAACCTGTAGACCTTACTTGGTTCTCAAACTTCAAGCTGTACATGTTTTTATATAAGTAAAATCTAATTTCCTGACATTACAAGTTTATTTAGTCAAAAGCTGCAATGAAAATGAGTAAAGTGCAATAACCCAATGGCACATTGAACCATGATTGGTTTCCATAGGTTATTGCATTTAGCACATAATTCCATTTTGTGCTGACTTATTAAAAAACGTGTTAGCCTGTACTGTTAATGGAACCATTTCCAACCCTTCTAGTACTTTATTGTAAACATGCTTGCGGATGAGAAAAATCTAAAAACAGCATAATTTCTTATAGATTAAGGAGCAATTGTTATCCAATACAAGGTGTGAAAATGCTAGATAATTCAATTATTCTAGCCTTATCCACATGAAAGTCTGTATCAGAACTGCTGCATTACTGTTTACTAACACTGTGAACAAAATGAAAACAGCATAAACTTCACAGATAAGGTACATTACCACGATCTTCACAACCTAGTTTCCACTATAATATAAATGCCAATGCTTTAACAAGCTATATATCGCAGAGCACTGGAAGTGTAAAAGACATTTCCTTCTAAATCCACAGCCACCCTGTCTCCCACAAATCAAAATAACCTATAAATACATATTGTTCTTTTTGAATCTTAAGTATATTATATAAAAAATAGGGTCCTTGCTACCTGAACAGATGTCAATGACTGCTTTATAAATGTCTATAATTGCAAAACACCTGCACAAATAATGGAAAATCAGTATAAACTAAATCTGGTCATATTTACATTATATATTATAGTAATAAGTAATTTACATTCGTACAACCTATTCATATCTTTAGAGTTACAATAAGAAACCTGCAATCTCTAAAACACACCTGGCAGTGGTATTCAATAATGATCCCCATTAGTGAGCGTCTTACCTTGGGCCTGCCTGGAGGGTGAGAGTGCTGAAGAGCAGCTGTTATCTCCACTGTCTCAGGAAAAAAAAAATCAGCTTTCCAAATGCGAGTTTCTTCTCAGATCCCACCGTACACCAGTAAAAAGATATTTGCTTCTGATGCACCTCTGTGACGTTTCTTCTTTCAGTGTAACAGCCAATTCCACAGCACAGACAGCAAGAGCTCTCAGCACACTCAGGACCTAGATGGAAAGTAGATTCCACTCAACGAAAAAAGGTGTTCTCGCCCCCACCTTATTTTTTACTTTCCCAGCGGCTCATAGTGTTCCTTTCTGGGTGGGACCCACTCTGCTAGTTTAAATGTAGCCCTGAAACACTAGACAAATGGGACTTGAGACAGCCTCTGTACTCTGTGCATCGCACACATGAGAATGAGGAAGTGTCTTTGGGTGAAAGGAGAGAGGAACACATCCCTCATCCAAACACAAACAGACATTTTTTTTTTCTTTTTTGGAAGTACTGATTTGCTTAACCATTGTCAATTGCAAGCAAGCAAGCAGAGAGATGAAGAAAAACATCTGCACTTAACAATAACAACACTTACTAAGAAAATGTAGTTACACTAATATAAATTCTTCATGATTACAAAATCTTTAGGAGGATGTGATTAAATATATTACCAGCTTGTCACATGAAAGTTCAGTCACAGACAAAAAAAGCTGTGATAAAAGTCCATGGGTATGAAAAACTAATATTTCAGAGTAGTTTCTGGCAAGTTGAATCATATAACTGGCTTTTAAAAAATCTCAAATAGTTCAGTGGCAGGAGACCCATAAGAAATATTAGCTTTGTGGCTCGCAAAACAATTCCAAATGCTCAGATGCTTGATTTTACTGATATGCATATGGCTCTCTGCAGCTTTGTGGCATGTATACATATGCAGTCATGGCCAAAAATACTGGCACCCCTACATTTCTGTCAGATAATGCACCACTTCACACAGAAAATTGTTGCAATGACAAATGTTTACTCATTCTCATGTTCATTTCTTTTGTTTGCATTGGTATGACACAAAAGTAGCTGCTTTTTGACGAAACAAAATTACAGCTTTTTGGTAAAGCCCATCATTCTACTGTTTTCAGAAAAAGAAATGAGGCCTGTGAAGAAAAAAATACAGTCCCTACAGTCAAACATGGTGGAGGTTCACTGATGTTTTGGGGTTGCTTTGCTGCTTCAGGCACTGGATGTCTTGACTGTGTGCATGGCATTATGAAATCTGAAGACTACCTAAGAATTCTGGGGTGCAATGTAGGGCCCAGTGTCAGAAAGTTGGGTCTCCGTCAGAGGTCATGGGTCTTACAGCAGGACAATGGCCCAAAGCACACATCAAAAATCAACCAGAAATGGTTTCAGACAAAGCGCTGGAGAGTACTGGACTGGCCAGCAATGAGTCCAGATCTGAATCCCATAGAGCACCTGTGGTGTCCTACTAAAACAAACAAAAGAAATAAACATGAGAATGTCTAAACATTTCTAATTGCAAAAATGTTCCCCGCGTAGTGGTGCATTATCTGAGAGAAATGCAGGGGTGCCAATATTTTTGACTATGACTATCATTCTTATCTATTACAGACAAACTTGGTTTTGTACTTTTTCATCATAGATTTATATGAAAACGTCAGATACAGCCAAAGCATGCTGTACTTCGTAGCTTGAATTAGAACTGGATGAGCACGAAGTGTCAGTGTATCCCATTTGCAGTGAGGACTGGATCAGTCCTAGATACATGGGTGATTATAGTCCCTTACTGCATAAATAGCATGGAGAAGAATCTTGCAGTGGATCAGTTACACATGATTGGGCAATTGTGCCATCATGAAAGATTGATTGCTGCTACAGTGTATACTGCTTGTTTGCCTACCTCCATAGAAAACCATTTGTTCCATTTATTTAGCAATCAGTTGCTACTCCTACTGATTAATTGCTAGTAATTTTAGTAGTACAGTTGAGCTACTAAAAAATATCCTGTGGCATAATCATGTAACTGTCAGCAAGTAGTAGGACCTCTCTACAGTAACAGATTAAAATTGACAATGAAAGCAATGTTACATATAAGCAAGCAAATATAAAGCCAGGGAGGGTAAACGCAGAGTGAAAATCACTTTCAAGCCTCTGAAACATTCATTATGACATGCAGCATTTTTGTGACATGCTCCAAATGTCTGAGCAATGACCGATCCCTCCTGAGAGCAAAATATAAAATAAGAACCCTTCCACTATGTAACTGAAGGGTTTTAAAAAGTTGTGAAAGGGCCCAGTGGTGTGGTGATTCAAGTAAGGATAAAGTGATACATCACCACCTGTTTTCAATGACAGCTTTGCCAGTCTAAAGTCATGTTTGAAGATGACTTGCAATCAAAATAAAATGTCACAAGAAAGCTTACATAACGACATCTTACAGTAGATGTATTTAGTACCTATACTTTAGTACCTATAATATCCACTTTCGCAATCAAATTTGAGAAAACCCCTCTATATGTGCGTTATGCATTTCTGTTCACACAGCATACTGAAAAATAACTTTTTAAAAAACCCAAAAGGTAATGGATACTCTTTTCCTGACCAGCAGGTTTTATGCAACTTTCTTAGATGCACAGAACAAAACCTGAGCATCAGTTGCTTGGGGGAATTCTTGAGAGTAGAGTGTGTGCAGTGCATGGACATCCTAGGTAAAAAGCAGTGGCGTAACAATAACCATAGCGACCCAGGCGGCCGCTATGGGGCCCAGGCCCAGCAGGGCCCGGCCAGGACACCCCCCTGATGCCGTGCGGGCTGCCTGGGTCGCTATGGGTTCAAACGCACCGCTGTTCAGGTCACCGTGATCTGTGCAGCGCTGCGTTCTTCTCCATTGCCGCTGCTGAGTCAATGAGAGTCAGCAGCGGCGGTGGAGGAGGCGGGCCCGGCGACGGAGGACGGAGCGGGCCCGGCGACGGATGGAGGAGGGAAGACGGAGGAAGAAGAGGTGGACAGGTAAGGAGTGTGACCAGCCCACCTGAGGGTCACCCTGCAGAGCCCACCATGGAGAGTCTATGGTGGGCTCTGCAGGGTGACCCCCAGGTGAGCTATGTGGGCTCTTCAAGGGGTGTAACTAGAAATCACAGGGCCGCATACAAAATTTTGCTATGGGGCCCTGTGATTTCTAGTTACACCCCTGGTAAAAAGTATAGGTATTTGCTTTAAGCAGCGACACACATTGGTGGCCTGTACAGTGTGTGTCGTGTTGGGTTGAGTGGGAGGAGTCAATACCTATTACTAAGCACACAGGTTTATTCAAAGGGACAGGCTATGAGCAAAATACCTGTTTGCACTTGAAAGGTTAGGCAAGTCTTAGACTGCTGAGTAAGTTTACTCCAGCATTCTCAAGGCAACCTAGCCAAGAAGCAGTGTAGGAATTGAGCCATATATAGTCTCCTCTGGTAATAATGGTATCTGGCAAATCCTACAGAAAGCTAGCTTGGCAAAAGTTGGAGGCCATTTGCATTCACATTACAGTGACAAGGCCCAAGAAGTAGATTAGCTGCCAAATATTATGGCACAGTATTTAAGCAGGAGACTACGCCCTTGTGATGTGCACTCTTGCGCCCAGTTATAGTAGGTAGCAGTAAGGCATGGTGACATCAGTAATGCCTCTGGAAAGCTGGGGCAGAGATACTTTTTTTTTTTAGCAACAGCTATATACAGCATTTTTATAACCTTTGCAGACAATTTGACTTTGGGGGTGGGAAGCATTCAATACATTTACGAATAGACAGTGTCACTGTATAAAACTGGCATATTCATGTGCAACAATTTAGCAGGTTATGTTGGATTCTTTCAGGTCATGAAAAGTTTGAAATGGAAGTTAAGGTACTACATAACAGATTTTTGGAAAGGGGTTATTTCAGCTCAATATTAGCATACGACATTGCTAAAGTGAAAAATAGAAATTAGTTGTTGAAGGCACAGCAGAGAAATTATTTTAAAAAAAAATGGCAATGTGGTCTTCTCTACTGAATTTAGTCTGGAATACTGTATAGCAAATTTAAGTGAATTTATATAGTGACACCGTCTATTCGGAAATCTTAAAGAATGGTTACAAGGTCTGCCACCATTTTAGGTATTGATCCCCAATGTATTTAAAGAAACAGTTTCCAATAAAAACACACTTCACAATTATCATGTGTTTGACTGTAGAAGAAAGATTTAAGGAACAAAGTGGGCAGCCTATAGGCTAGCCATAGGATTATACGCTTCACTTTTTTCTGGTATCTGCTCTTCCCCCTGGCCATAGAATTTCCCCCCTCCAATTGCTGCTGCCAGTCCTTCACCCTGAAATTGTGGAAGGGTGGGCAGCCTATGGCTGTTGATTTTTTCCCCTGTAGCAATGTCTCCAGTGCTCTGACTATTATGAAATGAATATAAAAAAAGTACAACTGGCTGCCAAGTGTCTGGGAGAAAGATTATGCTGAAACAGAAAAAAATGGAGACATGCTTTCTGCAGCTCAACCACCATTTTTTTTTTATTTCTGCTCCAGCAGCAGATACGTTTAAAATGGGCCATAGAGATAGCAGTAGCCTCTAATTCTGCTGACTCCTTATAGCCAGTTTGTGGGTCTTTGGTGGGATTATCAGAAGAGGAGGAGGAGGAAAAGGGCATATTAGCAGCACTTACAAGCAAATGGCGGCTATGCACCTCGGAGGAGTAAGAAAAGGCTTTGTCAGCCACTTCACTAACCCCTGTGTGATTAGCCACTGGCAACTATCTCTAAAATAATATACTCTCTAATGTTTATTTTAAGATAAAACCTGCATCGTATCTCCCTCTTATATTGCGGCCTAAACAAGCGGCTTACAAACTATCCAGCCACTGAACATTATTTGAGGCTATTGTCTCTCAGATAATACACTCTAATGTTTATTTCAAGATAAAATCTGCCTTATCTATGTGCTACCTATTCGGGTGCTGTCATGATGCTGGCCAGTTTTAGAAAACATATACCTGAAATCTGAAAATGTAGAAATAGATATTGGAAGACTATACCATAGATAGACAACTTCCAGAGGGGAGGGGGTTGTGTCCTTCAATGATTGCAGAGAAAAGGTTTTTACAGCGAGTACAAAAATCCTATTTTGTCTTCCGTTCATTGAAGGACACAGCCATTTCTTAATTCAATGGAGTGAGACTGAAGAGTGGCTAACCAAACAGATCAAGGAAGAGGAACCCACACACTAAACAGCCGCTTGCAGAACTTTGCGGCCAAAACCTGCAACCACAGAGGCAACAACATCAACTTTAAAATAACGTTTGAAGGTGTGCACCGACGACCAGGTGGCCGCCTTAGAATCCAGCATAACAGTAGCCTGATGCCAA